ATCATTACCCAGCAATATTAATCAAGTAAAGAAAACTTTATGTAACCCTAAATATTGCTGGGTACGGATTACGATGTTTTTATAAACCATTAAATATATTAAAAGGATTTATCAACTGTATTTTTATTCCAATAAATATATCACAGCTTCCTGGCCTTTCTTAATTAATTTAGTTTTTTAAAAACATTACAAAAAATAATCTGTTGTGAATAATTTAATGTTGATAACAATGTACATGGGATTTAGGAAAAATGTATATGTTTGAAATCAATTTCGTTTTTATCAAGTCTTTCAAATGTATTCCCTCCTTGCTGTCAGCTGATTGCGAAGTTGCCACATTAAGCCTCAAGTCAGACAGAGATCCAATTATTGGTTTCCGTTTCTAATTAATACAGCTGTACTATGTTCAAAACTTACATTAGTTTTGCATCAAAAATAAGATAATACTACTACTATCTATGGAAAAGTTTTGTTTCACAATTTCTACATTTTTTTCTCAGTTATGGGCAAAAAAGAGCCAATGTTATATGTCCATCTTCCCCATATAAACCTATGTTAAAATGAACAATTTTCAACAACAATATCTCAAAATCTAAATTCAAAAAGATTTCAAGTACATCTGTGCATTTGAGTAAACCCGATATACCTCCTTAAGTACAAGAGGTCTCTAAAAATAATATGTTACAGAAAAAGTCCGGATTCTCATTTTTGTGCTCCATCGACAGCAATTTTGTATGAAAATTGAATAGACAATTAAAAAATTCTATCCACGTTAGGTTAGGTTAGGTGAGAAAAACTGGTCAACGTACTCTTCCACATGATAATGAAATGAAATGTTAGTATGTGATTTATTTGTACTTTACGCCATTATTAAGTATGTACCTACATCAAGAATTGGATATCATCTCAAAAACCGATTTATTATGCTTATGTACTCGTGTGATCACTTTGCGTTAATTAAAACTAGATTTGTTGTTTATCTGCATATTTCTTCATCTGTGACTAAATTGCAACAAAATTTACTTAAATTATTAAAACATTTTCAATATTTATTATATTGTTTTAATCTGATTGATTGTGTGATTAATAAAATATTGAATATATGTATAAGTTCCATTATGGTAAGGATTACCAAAAATTAGGGAATGTGTGAAATGGTAACCAGACTTTCCAAGGTTTGTCAAATTTTCAAAATGTTGGTAAAAAAGCCTTGAAGTGTTAAAGGTATCAGACCAAATATATGTAAATATCGGGTGCCCCAAAATTCACGCAAGATTTGAATTTTATACCATTTGTGCCAACGAAAAAGACGGCGTGACAGCTGACATTCCAGAGTTATTAAAAATGGAGGGTTACAGGAAAGAACAACGCAATATTTTCAAAATATTGAAAGTAACAACTACAGTCCGCAATTTTCGTACAAAATATGGCCGGAATAGTGATTTAACTTCATCAACTGTGAAGAGATTAATTGAAAAATTCAGGAAGACTGAATTAATGATCTTAAACACTCTGGCCGTCCTTTAACAAGTCGTTCAACACAAAACATTGAAACAGTTCGTGACAGTGTTGCTCAGAGTCCAGGAACATCAATTCAGGATCGTGGTCAGGAATTGGATATTTCGAGAAGCTTTCTACAGCAAATTCTTACGAAAGATTTGCACCCTCATGCTTACAAAGTACAATTAATTCAAGAATTAAAACCTACTGACCACGCAGAGCGAAGAAAGTTCGGTGAATGGATTATGGAACAACATCCTGATGGCTTTGTTAATCGACAAAATTGTCGCATTTGGTGTTCAGAGAATACACGAGTAATTGTTGAAAAACAAATACATCCACAACGTGTCACTGTTTGGTGCGGATTTTGGACTGGAGGCATCATCAGACAATAATTCTTATTTGAAAATGGTCGGGCAGTATCAGTTAATGGTGCTTAATGTATGCACTATCTCGACATGATAATCTAGTTTTTTGCGTCTAAATTGCAAAATATTGATGTTCAACTAAAGGTATCACATGCGATATAGCCTGAGAAACATTCAAATTACAGCATCATTTCCTGGTCGTGTAATTTCCCGACTTGGTGATCAGAATTGGCGGCCCAGATCATGCGATTTAACGCTGTTGGACTTTTTTCTTTAGTTTTTTTTTTAAATCTAATGGTAAGGTTTGTGGCAACAAGGCCCACGATCACCCATGCCTTGAAGGAGGAAATTGAGTACTGTATTAATGAAATTCAGCCGTATTTATGCAAAACGGCCATGAAAAACTTCGACAATTTACCGGATATGCTATTCCATACATAACCCTATACAGTATACA